ACCTGTGTACGCAATCGCAGGTGTTTGTCTAAAGCTATGTATGTGGTGTTATAACTGCAATGCAATAGTTGTTTAGTGTTTGTGATACTGTTTATCTGAAAAGAAAGCTAATGTACTGCAGCAGATATATAGTGAGAGATGAATGATGTATTCTGTCCTTGTTAGACCAAACCAGTCATTAGGAACAACGGCAAAGTCAAAAAGTCTCAGAATTTAATCGGGCACTGCAAACTAAAACCCAGCATGATGTACTGCAGTTCCACTATGAATGACAGTACATGTTGCTAACAGAATTGTAAGATACATAGATTCTGTTTTATGAAACTACCTTGTTAAGAATCCTGGCAAAACTTCTTAGCAGTTTGGACCCAAGCAATAAATTAATGCTTAGTTTAGGAATAGGATAACAGGGCAGGGTGCACATAGGTACGGAAGTTGAGTGCTGGATGTTTCTGTTTCTTGATTTTTTTAAAAAATACTAAATAAATTTGAACTTAAATTGTAAGAACTATTCACACCATAGATTTCATATAATATCTTGTAAAAATCAAATTAGTAGTTTGTATTTTCCAAAGCTGTTGTTTCCAGCTGCCCTCAGAATCAAGAATAAAATGTAGCAATTTGTACTGATTAATCATTTCACAGATCGAAGACTGTATTTTAAAATCAGAAGCTTTGACCTTTTAATACAGAATAATGACAAAGATGTCTAATACAGATATGGAACTTACACAGGACTCCAGTTCGCGGCATTCAAAGCAGTACTACTGAGAAAGGTTTTTACTAAGGAAAACATAAAATGACAATCTGTCATTTTAAATTGGAAATTGGGGAAAAGAGATATTATTTTTTGGCGTTCTATGTACTGTCTAGTATTAGGCATAATAACAACTGTGCTGTTCCTTGCTCATCTTTTTAGTTTTTCAGAATGGAGTTTTTTCCTCAAATGGAAAATAGTTAGGGTTATTTACAGTCATAAAAACTGTTCAGCTGCCGTTTATTTAATACACATACATTTCATCAAATGAAGAATCAATATTGCTCCTTCTTTAGCCTTCTCTTCTCCCAGGCATCATTTTGAGAAACTTAGCTTTTATAAATTTTTTCACAGGTCCTTGAATTTGCTCTCTTGGAGATAGTTATAGTTGTAAAATAAGAATTACTGAGACTGTATGCTGGGCTCTCTGCAATAGTAGATGATATGTGGAACATCCTCGTTTCTTGCTGTGCATGTGCTAGTCTTGATTCATACAATTGAAAAACCTTAGAAGTTGATTTCAAAAGATTTATCTGCTCAAGCAAAGCAATCGCTTTTCATTTGCTTTTTATTTTAAGCCAAACTATGAAGTTGCCCTGTGTTGCTTCATAAATACCTTTTATCATCATCAACATGTTATTCAAAGTAGCATAGAACCTGTTGTGTAGGCACAGTTCCACTCTGACAGATGGGCATAGTGTAGGCGTGCCAGCCAACCATTCTATACATCACCTAACAGAGTATGAAGGGAGGAATTTTTGTCCGGGATTGCCACTGTGGCATTCAGTACATGTAAGGCTTAAAGTTCAGGAAATGTCCTCAGACTGGTCCATCTCACAGGATGACCCAAAGTTTAAAAATAGCCTGGGTTTTAGATTCTGCTGGGTTTGTACTGGGAAAAGCAATAGTTGCAATGAGGCTTCTGTTTCTTTTTGGCTATCTGCTGAAGTCACCTAATGGGCTCAGCCAAAAAAGAATTCTGCCATGGACACATTTCTCCCTGATTAATTACCTAAGTATGGAAGCATAAGCAGGGTGTAATTTCTCTTTTAAGAAAGCTGTTGTTTGTGGCTATGTGCATAGCTCTTTGGATATAGAATAGGAGGATGAGGATCTACTGAGGTAGGATGAAATCCTAGTGTGAAAATGACTCAGAATAAAATTTTGAATAAGAATAAACCAGACTTCTGCAACTAAAGACTTGGATAGTGAGACGCAGAATATTTTTTGCAGGTTTTCAGAAATGCAAATCAGCTGTTGCTTGGTTATTGGGGTTTGGGATTTTGGAGGAGTTTGGGGTTTTTTAAATAAATTGGCTTAATGCCTTGTGCTTGATTTTATAAAGTAGCCAAGCAGGCTTTTGGCAAATACACTTGGTCTGAACAAATGCTTTTGTGTGTTACACTAGTTATCTTTATGTCTGTCATTTTTACCTTCCTCAGTATTTTTGCACAGCTTCAGTGTTTTAATTGTTTATTTCAAGTCTAACTCAGCCTTTAAATACCACAGATTTTGCTAACTTCCCTGGAAGTTATGCCGATATGATACATTCATGCTTTTTGGGAAACTTGGTTTCTGATAAAAAGTTTCTAAATTTGGGGAAATAATGGTTGCATGGCACTGTCATTTATGAGATGGCACAGTCTGTGAAAGAACAGGTATGAAAAATGAAGTGAATAAAATTGCCTTTGAAATATAAATTGGCATTTCATGGGCTTCTGTTAGGAGAATATCTTTTCTAAACTGCACTAAGTATTTAATTTTTCTTTTTAGCGGAATGTTTTCCTTCTGAAATGAAATTACATAGTAATATTTAGCTAACACTTCCGTATATGCCTAGTTTTAAATTAAAATTCATAATTAAGCTTAAAATGAAATCATAAAATTTCGTTTAATGTTTTCTTCCAGTAACTGAAGTAATGTTCACTGCCTTAGAAGGTGCAGTCATCATTGAGAAGCTTTGTTCTTTTAACAAAAGGTACCGAAAATAAATTCAGTTAGGGTCATAGTGGTTTAGTTTAATACTGTTATGATAATGAGTACTCTAATTACTTTCAGATAGTTTTTCCTTCCCAGAGGATGAGATTTTTAGTTTTGATGCCTGCTTAAAGCACAAGAATGACAGTAAAATTAATGTCATAACCTTTATGGCCTATTTATCGTTTTCTGTGTAGTATCCTAAAGGATTTTGTGTAACATCTGAAATAAATGTCTTAGTATGGACAAGCATCAAATTGGGTTAATTGGGTTCACCTGATATTCAGAGTCAGTCTGTCTATCAGGACACCAGTTTCATATAAAAGACCTGTGGGTATCTTTCTGTGAAAATTGCTTTTAAATTATTACATGTATATGCTCTGCTTCCTTTGATTGTTAAAGACCAATTTACAGTGTAGGGTTTTTCCTAGTTTATTTGATATTTTTGCTTCTTCTGGTTGAAAATTCATTTATCCTTTCATTCTGTGGTAACATAAGGAGTAGTATAGACATGATAGAGCTTGTTTTGTAGCATTAAGATAAATTTTACTTTTTAATTCTGTGCAACTTCCAACTCCACTTCACTTGTAATTCTTGTAATACATTTCTTTTCATGCTGGTTCCTAGAAGCATTTTAGAATTGCAAAATTACATCAGTGTGGTCTGGCCCGTTCTTGTAGGTTAGCAGGGAGTTGTCTGTATGTTACCATGACGTGAAACTACACATAGATGAGCCAACGTGTGTTTGTATACTGGGTCAGACAGGTTTGGGTTGACTCCGTAAGGACCACGGACAGAGGCTCTTTGAGGCAGCCTGGGATCTGCTGATGGTATCGGCAAACTTGTGCCAGGAGGTGCTGGTTGACGTACAGGAGCTTCTTATTGCATATGACTTGGCACAGAAGATACAGGTGCCAAAGAGCCTCACCTGGTTGCTACATGAGAGGTCTCTTTCCAGCAGCCACACTCAATTTTCTTTTATGCTTTGGTATTGAAGTTCCTGGAAATGGGATTGGTTTTGCCTCTTTTATACTTCACTGCTGCCCACAGAACCATCTCCTTCCTAGAACCTCTCCATTGCTTTTTGAGAGTCAGTTGCATGACAGCAAAGAAACATATTCAAGGCCTATTTTTGTGTTTGGTAGTTGCATCAGAATTTGTCCTAACTATTTTTGTGTTTATCAAAAACATCCTTTTGGTACTTCACGTGCTAAGAAAAGGGCTCTTGAGTGCACGTCTGGAATGTTCTTTATGTAAGAGTCTACCAGCTGTTAAATTGGTCAGAAAAGTAAGCAAACTCCACAGCTGGCTCTGCTCATGGGAAATGTTGTGTTCTGGTGTGAAAGCATAGATCCAAGTAAACCTCCAAGTAGTTGGAGTTCTGTCTGTGTTGGTAAATGGACTTGTCTGTTTACCTTCCCAAAGCCTCCAGCCGCATCAGGAGAACAGGAGTTCTCCTGTGTGTCTGGTGTAATATTAGTGGTGTTCAGCTGAACCAAACTATTATGCAGCCATTCCAAAAGCTAGACCATATTATGATAAAGAAAATCTAAGTGGATAACAACACAACTTTGTATTGTTGTTGCATTATACTATGTCTTTCTTGACTGTTGAACCACATTTGACCAAAGCTTAAGTGTCACATTGGCTGCCCTGGAAAGAAATAGCCAAGTCTTAAATTACTGGGTGGCCACTTGATGTCATGCTATTTTATGTAAAACATTATGCATCAAATTTTGTGATAAGTACCAATGTCAAATTCAGGAGAGGTGGCACTGTAATGTTTGCTTCACAATTGCAAGCTAATACTTTCGTTGTAGCATCCATGGAAGATTCTGCTTGTCAGTCGGTTATATGGGAACCATGTAGTCATATGTTTGAAGGAAAATGTTTCCTTAACCCTACATTGTCTATGAATGTTCAGAATGGACTGTCACATTGAAGTTCATGATGTCCTCTTTTTTTGGCTTTAATGGGGGATTTCAACTACAGGAACCCTAAGTTAGTTGTACCCAGTGTTGAAATATGGAGACTGCATATAAGGGTACGTGTGATCCAGAGAAACACTTTGTTTAAAACTGGTGGTGTTTTGCATGAGGTATGGGCATAGTGGGATCTGTTCTGAAATACAATTTCGGGGAACTATTGCCATTGTCCTTTTTTTCCCTTTTTTTTTTTTTTTTTTAAAAAATGAAAAATTATCAGAACTTCTAAGTGTCTGTATTTCTTCTTTCCAGGAACACTGTTGTAACTATTAAAGGGCATAATGCAGAATCCTTTAACTTTTTCTGCAGGTACAGTATACTTTCTATACTTTTTTTGAGAAATAAGGTGCTTGTGATTCAAAATGTGAAAGACGTATCATCATCATTAATAAATCCCTGTATAAGTCGTGTTTACTATTCTTCGCTAATATGGTTAAAAACAAAGAAGCCATTATGCTGCAGCATTTATCACGTTACACCATTGCAATAGCTAAGATTGTTTTCTTTAGGATGTAGTTAATTACTGTTACCACCTGTAGTTGAAACTTGAAATATATAAATTTGCTTCTGTTGGATTCAGCAGAATTAAGTGTTAAAGGTTTATTACAATTTTTTTATCTTTATGTATTTGAAAATCATTGTCATATTTGACCCCCATGTAATTGGGGGTCAAATCTATTTGCAAATTATGCTACTAGACTAGCAGAAACAAGAAAATAAATATTTTCTAAATATAAACTTAGATTTTTATATTTTAATTCCTTTTTCTCCAGCATTTCTATCCTTTCCAACATGTTTTGTGTTTAACTATATTTCTTCTACATTTTGTCTTTTCAGAAGTCATCTTTTGTTGATTAGTTTTCTGCAGGGTTAACATCTTGAATTTTCCCTCTGTTATTAGTAAGGGTATTTGTGCTGCAACTGTGTATTCCCAAGCCTCTAAATATGCAGATCTAACTTTTATTTCCTTTCCCTTTTGATCTGTGTCACAAAGCTAATGTTTAATCTGATTTTTAACTTGAATGTAATTTTTAATGTTACTTCTTAAATGTGAGTGTTTGGTGGATGTGACATAAGCTCTAATGGACCTTCCAGAACCATCGCAGATTGTCAGTTAAGTTTCCATTGTTAGTACTTATGTTAATTAAGAAAAGCACTATATATTGCTTAACTTGAAGCCTTGAGCTTTTACTGTCATGTAAGTTTGTACTTTACCTGTTTTGTGAAGACTGAGTATTTTTATGATACTGTAGTAGTTCTGAGGAAGCTATTCCAGAAAGATGTCATGCAGATTGATCTTAGTTGATGAGTTCTGTGTCTAATGGGACTAGTCTTTCGAGGAAGACAGTATTTACTGTTGTGTAAAGCCATCCACTCTGCAGTGTGCTCTATGTCCCTATGCTTATGGCTGAAATACTTAATGCAAATACTTAAAAGCCTTATTTTTTCCTTTAATTAACAGGAATTTGACAGCGGTTGTAGTCAAATTGAATGTGTTCTCTTTATGTTAAAACCATTTCTGAATAACAAGAGGACAATATAGACTGAAACTGTTTGCAAACTTGAAACTGATGAATCATTTACTTTGAGATTTTTTTAAAGACTTTTTTTGTTCTAAACAAAAATCCATTCTAGTCAGTATCCTGTTACCAGCTTGCACCCAGAGCGATTTGTAGGAGTCATGTTGTAAACTTCAGAAGTGAGAGCATTCGTGTTAGAAATCATAGGCAGATCCTGACCAAGAGCCGTATCACTGTTGAATCATGATATTCTGCTAATATACTAGTCTCGGTATATTTTTTTGAATTTTTTTACTAGTAGTCTTTTTTTTGTCCTTGTACCAAGCATCGCTCTTGTTTCTTAAATGTGTTATGGCACTTTGAAAATGTTGAGGCTATTAGCAATTTATGGTGATTTATATACAACTGTAGTATTGATACCTTTCTTAAAAATGAAAGGCTTGAAAATAAATGGTATTGGAAGTAGAACCTATCCATCAGTTACATTCAATATAGTGTTTTTGTCAGTCTTTCTATACTTTGAAAGTGCTTGTTATTTTTCAGTTGAGTATGGAAGTAATGGTTAGTGCAGATTCTTTGAGGGACAACATAAACCCTTCTCTGCTACCATTTGTCATGTAATAGCAGTTCTGTAATTTGATACGTACTCCTTCATGGCATCTGTATTTTTCTGAATTTAAAATATTTTAAAGAAAGGTCATTATAATTTATGTAACCAGCAATTGTAACTCCATGTTCAAACAGATGCACTTTTCTGAATAATGATAAATATTTAGCTTCTAAGATTTTATTTTTTTCCTAGGATTTATGAAATTCTCATTGAAGCATCGTATTCTGTCATTCACACTCATGTTGATATTTACTGTTGAGCAAGTGCTGGGATTCTTTTATAGTGCTCCATAATGATGTAAAATACTCTAAGCATGCCTTAGAGAACTGAAATACCTTTGGCATTGTCAGATTTAGCAAATTTTTTTGTTAAATGATTTTAACGTAAAATAATTTTGTATCTTACACAATTTTTGTGCAAAATATAAGGCTGCCCTGGTTTATCTATTTAATACTTTTTTGCCTTTTTAAAATATTCATTAGAAAAGTGTGTCACAGGTTGAAATCATAGTTTTGCTCCTTGAGTATGTTCATTTTAATTTTTTTAAAAAATCTTTTTTTTCCTAAAAGTCATTGGATAGTTTAGCGTATTTTGTATCCATATTAGTATGGTCATTTGGTGCTGGGAGATCTCAAACTTCAATTAGGCATGTAAATGTGTTTCTTAACATCAACTCGCACTTTGCTGGAACCCCTGCTGCCTTTATATCATTAACATAAATGCAGGTGCAAATACTATTTAAGTACTTTGATAGAAAGCAGTTGGAGACATTTCACTGTGGGACATGACACTTTCAGATTGTGTACATCTGTTCAAATAATGTATCCAAGCCAGTGACATGAATGCAAGGATAAAAACATCTGCCCCTGAGACCATTTGCCATACAGCAGATGCTTACATCTTTATTTATGCAGATGGTTTGTGTGATGAGCTGAGCAATGATGAAAGCAAGAAAGTTTGACAAAGATTTCAGGGTATTGCTTGGGATGGGAAAATAACATTGGTAACAGGGCTTCGTTCTCAGATGTTGACCAAAGAAGAACATCTGTTATGAGTACTGATGTTTTTAGTAACAGGAACGTGTTATTTGGGACGTGAACTACATTAACACAAAATCAGTAAAGGATTTTTTTTTTAAAAAAAGTCTCTTACGCAAGAATTGTACTGCAGTTACAGATACTAAGTGGTTAATAGAAGTAATTACTTTTAACAGGAAGGCTCAGCTGCTTTGCTTCAAGATGTTCTCAAGTTATACAAAACATAGAACTGACTGAAAAGTTTGCAAAGGTAGAATATTTTGAAATAATAACGTAACTTGTCATGAAGTTGTTCAGAGGTTGTGTGCGGTGCTGTAAAAGATTTCATGACGTCGGGGATTTTTCAGTAGGAGTCTTATTTAGTGCTACAAAATTATTAGACAAGTAGTTTAGATTTGTGTTGTTGGAAAATTACTGTAGGGTAGTGGACATGAGTCGCAGATCTAAACTGAGCTGGCACTTAGCAGAAGGAACAGAATGTGCCCCGCGTGGCCTCCTGGCCGCAGCTAGGCTTGCCCGGCTCCAGCAGTGGCCGGAGGCAGCGGTGATGGGCGCCCGACTCCCCCTGCTGGACTCTGCGCCAAGGGGCTCCTTTGTCTGCCAGCGCACGCCAGGTACACGTGAATTTCATTAGAAATGTGCTGGTATTTCGGCACACGGCAAGTTCAGGATATCATCTCCGGCCTGCATTCCTGTTGACTGCATTCCTGGCTTATATTCCCTCCTGTGTTGGCGCCCACTGGTACTGTATCACTTACCAGCTATGTATTTAGTTGGTTCTCTTGCAGCACATACAGGACCACCTTTTGAGAGCCTTTAAACAATGCAGCGGCTAGCATGGGCAAGCTTAGCAGTGCCAATAAGCATTGCAAATAATTGTAATTATGCACAGGGGGAGGAAAAACAGTTGGATGCTGTAATTTAAATTGTTTCCTGCTACATCCTACTGCCAGAAAGGCCTAGCTGTGCTCAAGTTCAGCAGCAAGTGATAATTTTGTATGTTCTGAAAACTAATGTCTTCCTAGCCAGGACTAGTCTTCCTGAAGGTCTTTTAGGTTTCCTATGCTGTACAGGGCTGTGTCTGTCTTTGAAAAAAATATACCTATCTACTTGAAGTACTGTGGAGATTCTCTAATCTTTATTTTTGTTTTAATCCTTAGTGGAATTGACTACAGGTGGCAGTGTCTTGTGTATCTCAGCCAGAGCTGTAGAGTCCTTTTCTGAAGAAGTTTGGGTCATGAAGAAGGAAAAGGGGGGACAGCTAGAACAAAGAAAAGCCCTGCACAGAGATTCCCTATTTAAAAATTAGATCACTTAGGTCGTTTTCAAAAGAAATGAGCTGTTTACAAAATCCCTCAGAAACTACTCTCCAACTATCATGTAAGTTTAACAATGTGTTCTGTGTTACGGCCCCTTCTTTGAGGAATGATAAACCCTGTGTATAATTCATACTGGAAGACTCAAAATAGGCCAGGCTAAGGCTGACAATCCTCTGATCCTCTGTTCGTCATTAATGAGGGAGGACTTTCCAAGGTTTGTACTACAGAAGTCAGAGATGCTTTTAATGCCTCAAGTAAAATATATTTGCTCTGTTGAGCCAAAGTGGTGAATTAATTGTTTGTTTTCTCTTGCATACAGGCTCTCTTCAGAAAGAAGTGCTCTGATTTCCACCAAAAAAAATGATACTGTATAAGACGAATAGCAATTTTACTCTTCTGTTGTGCTCTATTTGCACATCAGTATATGCAAAAAATAAATTTTGGGAGTAAGATGTGTTATTCCGTTACTGCAATCAGACGTACGTGTTTTCTGTCCCATGGAGGGAAGGGAGGAAGGTTGAACTCTCAGTAAGATGAAGATAGATTCTATTCTCAGCTTGTTTGAAAGGGGAGCAAAAGTCTAGTCAGAAAATATTTCATGATTTATTCATAAAATGGTTCTACTTGACCTTTTTGTGCTGCATAGTTTCTGAGGAATTCTGCCTTCGTTGTTGTAGCAGACCTGGTCATTATTGTATCCTGCACTTAAGGAAAAAATAAGTCTATTAATTACCACTTACATTAGGCATATCAAGATTTTGTCGAGGTTGATATGATCTTGATAGACCTTTTAAAAAGGACTTTACATTGACTTTACAGTGAATGAATTACTGTTTAGCTCCATATCTTTCTTGAAGCTTGCTAAAAGACATTTCAACTGGCAGTTCTCCCAGAAAATAGTTTTTAAAAATCCAATTACAACCTCTTCTTTTGAATCTTCTGTTTATCCACACCTTCTAAAGGATCTAATTTATATTTGCAATGCCATTGACTGTTTATGAATTGTGAGGTGTGACCAGTGCTTCCATCACCTCCCTTCAGCTATTTTCTGAACAATTAGTTCCCCCATGTGGCTGTGTCACTGAAGCCTTGCTTCACAAATGTCCAAGGATGGTATCCTCTATCAAACAGAATGACTGGGCAAAACCAATAAAGATAAACCACTGGATTTGCAGTGATACCAAGATAATTTCCATTCTACTCAACAGAGTCCTGTCAGAGCAGCTTGGGTTCTAGATAATGCCCACTTGAAGTCTGGCATGCTTGGTTGCTGAAACTAGTAGAGGCATATAGAAGCTCAAACACAGACTTTGATGATATATCTAAGAGTCTCTCTCAGACAGAAGTTCCATGCTTTAACAGAAAAGAACCAGTGTTTTCATCTTTAATAGTGATTTGTGTGGATGCAGAGGCCAGGCACTGTCTTGAGCCCATAGACTTATCTGCAGAAACTCAAGTTCTGGTATTGCCACAGTGAGAAAAATCTGTGTCTGATTTCTTCAGCTGTAAAAGTGGAAAAAGTTAATAATAATTACAGATGCTTTATGTCTAGCTCTACTTACGTCACTTTTCATTTCTTGATATGAAAATGTTTTGATCTGCTTAAAACCTATTAATTGTGTTAACCTTAGTATGAAATGAGTAGTTTATAACTTGAAAGGCTGTGCCTTCAAAAAGATTGAAAGCTTTTAAAGTTCACAAGCACTGCGTGAGAGGTGTTAAGAGAGCAAGTGGATCTGCTAATAAATGTATTTTAAATTCATTACAAAAGCATGTTTAAAAATCTCTTATGTATAATATGTTCTGACTTTTAGGAAAGACTTCCAAGACTTTCTTCCTTTATACAGTAGCACAGAAATGGCTTTTTTTATGGGATGTTGTGTTAAGCCTTGCATTGGCCACATTTTATATGAGATGTTGCTTTTGAATATTGATTTGCCCACATATGACTAATACATTTGATGTTACAACTCAAAAATATTACCTCTAAGCTCTTGGCCACTTGTTATTCACTATAGAAACAGGATTTTATACGTATTTAAAAGGTATTTGTGTTTGGACAATATAGAGATACGTGAAATCTAGATCTATGAGAAATCAAAAATGATGTCTTAAATTATTATTTGTGCTAATGCTGATAATATAGTGTCTAGATGCATTGATTTCTTGATGTGTTAACTTTTGTTGAACAGATGCGTGCATATTGTTTTATGTTATGGTTTTCTTTGAGGACAGAGATACTGGAGCCAAGATGCTGGTGAGATTATATTGGCAGAAAGAAACCTAAATAGAATCATAGAATGATTTGGGCTGGAAGGGACCTTTAAAGGCCATCTAGTCCAACCCCCCTGCAGTGAGCAGGGACATCTTCAGCCAGATCAGGGTACTCAGAGCCCCGTCAGCCCGACCTTGAATGTTTCCAGGGATGGGGCTTCTACCACCTCTCCAGACAGCCCGTGCCAGTTTTTCACCACTCTCATTGTAAAAAATTTCTTCCTTATTTAAGTCTGGTCTAAATCTCCCCTCTTTTAGTTTAAAACCATTACCCTTTGTTCTATTGCTACAGGCTCTGATAAAAAGTCCCTCCCCATCTTTTTGGTAAGCCCCCTTTAAGTACTGGAAGGCCGCAATAAGGTCTCCCCAGAGCCTTCTCTTCTCCAGGCTGAACAACCCCAACTCTCAGCCTGTCCTCATGGGAGAGCCGTTCCATCCCTCTGGTGATTTACATGGCCCTCCTCTGGACTGGTTCCAGAAGATCCATGTCTTTCCTGTGCTGAGGACTCCAGAGCTGGACACAAACCTCCAGGTGGGATCTCACCAGAGCGAATCACCTCCCTTGACCTGCTGGTCACACTTCTCTTGATGCGGCCCAGGATATGGTTGTCCTTCGGGGCTGTGAGTGCACATTGCTGGCTCATGTCCAGCTTTTCATCCATCAACACCCACAAGTCCTTCTCGGCAGGGCTGCTCTCAATCCCTGCATCCCCCAGGCTTGTATTGATATTGGGGGCTGCCCTGACCCAGGTGCAGGACCTTGAACTGCACCTTGTTGAACCTCCTGAGGTTCACACAGGCCCACTTCTCGGGCTTGTCCAGGTCCCTCTGGATGGCATCCTGTCCCTCAGGCGTGTCAACTGCACCACTCAGCTTGGTGTCATCTGTGAACTTACTAAGGGTACACTCGATCCCCCTGGCTATGTCATTGATGAAGATACTAAACAGATCTGGTCCCAGTACAGACCCCTGAGGGGCACCACTCATCACTGGCCTCTGTCTGGACATTGAGCTGTTGACCACTACCCTCTGGATGCAACCATCCAACCAGTTCCTCATCCATTAATTAATCCATCTGTCAAATCCTTGGCTCTCCAGTTTAGAGGGAAGGATGTTGTGGGTGACTGTCAAAGGCCTTATTGAGGTCCAGGTACATGACAGCATAATAATGAAGCAACTCCTGTGTACACTTCAAACAACAGACAAAAGCAATTCTGCAAATGGAGAAAGTGGAGTTACCTAACAGTAGAGATATATTAATATAAGTTATGAAGTCACATAAATTATGTTAGACACTAATTTTCTGAAGAGTAGATCCATATAAACTTGGCATATATTAGTATATAGTTGGTAGTGCAATATAAGGATGTTTCAGGGAAAAAAAAGACTGGATTAGACAGGAAACTGAAGAACTTCTATAAATATGAACTGTGTACCCATGATCTTGGATTACTGTATGAGTTACATCTCCAAAATGACTCCTTATGCTATTAAAGGTTTAGTTTATTCTCACCCTGAAAAATATCACTAGAAATTTTGAGGTTGAGTGTCTGCTTTAATGAAGTACAGTTAATGTCAAAAAAACCCATTTTTATTGTGTAACTTTGTAATGCTCTCTTCTAAGAGGAGTCTTTTGGAGACTATTTAAGGAATCCAGGAAGCATCCCACTGCTCACAGAATTTCTTGAAATGCAGTATAATCCTAATCCTTTACGGTAATAAACTTGCCCAGACTTTAAAGCAAAGATGACCTTTCTAAATTATAAAATGCTTAGTGCACAACTACCAAAGCATCTTGACACTCAAATCAGAATTAATTATATATAGCTTTAAAGAGGTCTAATATTCCCTTTTAGCATTTTAACAAACTATTTTGATCTTATTCTTCCTGTGGTGTACCAGAACACGTTTTCTAAACGTATTTATAGTTTCTGTATCTTAGTGTTTGTGTGAATGATATACTGTGATTTTCCAATCTTGCATTAGAATACTTTGTTATATTGTTTATTTTATAATTAATTTAAATTGCTTAAAATGACTCCTATGTAGACATAACTATATTATTCTTTAAAAAAATCAAAAATCAAGTGCTAAGAAATGCAAGATAGGACGTTATCCCTGTGGCTTAAATGCTTCTCCTTTCCACGTCACATGTAACAGTAATGTTTGTTATCCATCTTAAATCTGTGTTTAATTCCCATATCCCACCATGACTCTTTCGCCTAGACACTTTCCAAGTCTCATTTCTAGTTTTCTTGTCCTTTTCCTGCTCGCCCTGTATATATCCTTGTCTCTTTTCCACACTGTCAGCTCAGCAGTTAAAGACAGGCCATTTCCTTGTTCCAGCATGGGTGTTTTGGCCTAAAGCTATACAGTTTTGGGAAAAACCCAGCCCAGCCTGAAGCAGGAGCATGTTCAATAGAACGTAATCATTGGAAAAATCAGCTGCTTAAGGTATCTATTGAATACATGCCAAGAGCTTACAACTTTGCCAAATTTGGGCAGTTTTTCACAGACGAGAGAGATGTTACTGTGTCAAATATCAAGGTCTTCGTCTAATGCACAGATGTATCACTAGATTATTCTTTTCTTTTTATTTTTAAATGCAGACATACCTGGGGATGGCTGGCATTTTCTGTTGAAATTAATTTTAGAAAATTATCTGAGGCAATACACCAGAACCTTCCACCCAAATAGTTATTATTAGGCAAAGATAGAACAAACTGCAAATTAATTGTTAAAACATCTGGAGTTGGGCACTCCTGACTTGTAGGCTTCATTACCCACCTTTCTTTGTACAGGATTGTGGCAAAACTAGTTTTGAACGTAGAAGGCCAAATTCTATTTTCTAGACTATCTGCAGTTCCTTTGATTTACATGGGATTGCAGAAAGTGTAAATCGGCATGGAATTTAGGCACCGTATTTAAAAGCCTCACTTAAGCTACTGTATCTTCATTTTTCTAAGCTTTTTGTTTTGGTGCTGTTGATTGTCTGCCATGACACTGAAGCTAAAGCATCCCATCTGTTTACCACATTTACCAGCTTTACTCAATTATTAAGCTATCACCTTGCATTTGGTGTGTAATATGTTAGATTTTAAAACATTTTTTGAGGAGAGAAAAATGGCAAAGAGCAAGAAGCAGTAGTTTGCTTAATGCATTAACTGGAAGTTAATGTTTTATATTGTCATTTTATATTGTCTGTTTCTGGGTTTTGTTGGTTTTGGGGGTGGTTTGCATTTTTTTTTGTCCTGGGATCTATTTATAACTGACTGAAGCACTTTTGCAGGTGGTGTTTTTTTGCATGCTAATCCTGCAGAGAAACATTGTGTCCAACAAAGTATGCTGGGTCAGCAAAACCAAGAAACTTGTGCTGGAAAGACAGTATCCACAGGTATTTAGTGTGTATGGAGATTTGGCGAAATGAATTATTAACTGTCATTGACAGAAATTGTCTGTTAGAAAGTTGTGCATTTTTTTTCTTTCCCTTAGAACAGATAGTCTTCCTTTCATAGGCAGCAAAAGACTCAGCAATGTAAGCGTGCATTTAATAAAATACTTCATTAAAATTTTTCATCTGTATTCTGACTATCCTTTTAAAACAAATGATCCTTTTTGTGTTATTTTCTGTCACTTGTCCAGTCATACACAAATATATAGCTACACAACTGAGATGGTCCTACAAGGATTATTTAAAAAAATTAACACTGTTCCACAGTGGTTTCTGACATTTTGATGGTTTATTTTAATGATCAGATTAGTGGGGAAAACTAGATTTCTTCTGATGATTTCTACAGTGTCTGAGTTCAGCCAGACACTTTACATAGGGAACGAACTGAAGGAGGTACAAAAAGAAGGCAGAACAGACTGGAGTAGGCCAGACTTTAATGACTTAGGAAGGAAGGGGAACCATGAATCAACAGAAGCCCTATGGAAGACTTTCTTTCCTCCAGAGGGCTCTTCCCAGCATGGCTATATTGGAGACTTTGATGCATCATTGAGGTTTTTTTTTATTGGTGGAACACTGTCTGGTCCTATGCAATTTTAAGGTTATTTAGAAGGGGTAACAGCTTATGATATTCTGCAAGTTTCTGAGTGATTTGATACTTGTGGGTACTAGCATGGTAACCATTAATCTTTTGACAGAGACTTTTAAAGTAAATGGATTGAATTGCATTGTATTTAACCTTATGCTTAATTATTTAAAAGTGTCTACCTGTTGCCCCAACTTCATGTCTATTTGCAAGACTGAGAACACAGCAGTTAAAAATGAGCTTCACATCATTCAGATATTGAATCTAATGTTTACATTAATTTCCTTTATTCTTAATGAAAATTTTAGAGAAAGTATAAAAATTGTTGCCTTCCAGTGAAGGGTCTGTAGACTTGACTTTAGAAAGAATGTTGTCTAAAACCAAGGGCTATCCTCAAAGATACCATTGCAGAGCCTCCCTTAACTGAAATTTCCCCTTTTTATAGGTACAAGACTTCATGGGTTTGCATAGGCATGAAGGCTTTTCCGCAGGTCACAACTGTGAAGTCAAAATGAGTCCTTTGAATCTGTGACAGAAATAATTTGGAAGAAGGTGTGGAATGGCCATGAAAGGTGCCTGTTAAGTTTCCAAGTAGCCTTCTGGTAGCCAGGCAGCCAGAACATATTCAAGTCTTTCAGTGTCAGGGTGACAAAGACATGAATTACTGTAGCAATCTCAGTGTGGAAATTGTTGAAACTTTTCACCAATTGTAAATAGAAGAAATAGTTTTGGTCACTGATGATGCTTGCATGCTCTGGGTGGGGTCAGTAGGACCTCTGATCTTCAGATTGACTGGTTGCTTTTTCCTGATTCAAGATGCTAAACAGTCTTCCACCAGTTCTTCAGATTAGCTTTCCCAGTCCACAGCAGAATCTTACCAACTGAAGGATCAGACTGCTAGCCTGCATCTAGCCTGTCTCTATATTTAGACACTGGTTAAGCTGCTTAACTACAGCAGATGTGTTGGATGAGAGGGAAATACAGGGTTGAGTATACTTTGCTTATTAGAGCCGCTGCAATGAGTATTTCTTCACTAAACTGTCTAATGTATACTTGGGGGAGGGGGGGAGAGAAAAAAAAAAAAGTTGAACTGAAGGCTGATACCAAACATAGCTTGCTTGGAGGACGTATTTGTAAAATAAATATGCTAGTTGGAAAAAGAGCATTGGTACAAAAATACCTTCTCAAACAGTTACGTCAATGCTTACTATTGTGTTAACTGCATAAGAAGAATATTGATCTAAACAGACGTTGTTTCAAAAAACATTTTGTAGGTGATGTTCATGAAGGTCTTGGCTTCTAGAATGATACTTTCTTGTGGAATGCTGAGAAAATATGTAGAGAGACAGTCTTTAAAGAAAAGTAGTTTTGTTGCCTAATTTTGCAATAGGCAAGTCAATGTATTTGAGAAGCATATGCTTATTGTTAAACCTCATGTCATGCATTATTTCAACAAATATTTCCTCCTAACCTCAAATTAACCTTTCTTTTGTGGTGCTTTGGCTGCCATTTCTGCACTTTTGTAGAGGTGGCACATCCACAGCAAAAATTCCTGACTTTTGCTGACCTCACATCATTTGCTGCCATTGGTTGGAAAGCAGGTGTCCTATAACTTGGGGTGTAAAGTAGCACAGGTAGCAGTCTGCTGAAGTGCTGGATTTCCTAAAAAGTTTATGCAAATCAACGAATGAGATTCTGAAGCAGAAAAGGAGGTACAAGCCAAATGTGAGAGAAAATGGAAACTACTTCACATTGAATATTGTGGCAAGCTGGATAACAGGTGATCTGGAAGAAGTCTTTAATATCAGTATATGGCAAGCATAATCTGAAAAAATAAGAGCAGACTCTGTCCCTTAAAAGAAAAATACACTCCTGTCATCTACTGTATTTAAGCTGTACAGTTTGACCTGTAACTGGCATTGAAGTTCAGGGCTAGTTTGGTTAATGATTAAAATACTTTAAATCATTTTATTGTACTTCTCAGAAGCCCTTGAAAGTGTTTCCTCAAAAGCAGCAAAAAGAAGATACCTTGCAGGAAAAAAAATAATCTGAGTATTATTAGCAATCTTAGCTGCAAAGATAAAGGTTTCTGTATATTTAGTGATTGTAGATTGTCAAAAGTGGAAGTTTTTAGTGAAAAATAGTACATGCTTTTTGAAGAACAAAAAGTTTTTTAGGGAAACAGACTTTTAAACTTACCATGTTTCTGCTTTTTCCATGTTGTTTGAACTCTGTAGGCCTGGAGTTATCCCTGTGTATAGGGATCTCTTTATATTTGTGTAGGTTTCACATATGTACAGTAGCCCACTCCTCACAGAATATCTAGAAATTCTGGACATCTCTACAGACATTGAGCAGAAGGAAAGTTATGGTGGTGCGCAGTGGTTTCACTTAATTGGAGGATCAAGAAGGTGCATAATAGGTTTGGGGTTTGATGCTGTAGGTGGCAATAAAAGGATCAAAGGTATATGCCCTACACCCTACATAGCGATTAGTGTATGAACCTGCTGTAGGTCAGAGAGTTTTGAGAAGCACCAGACCTACTGTGTATGAACTGTACAGTTTATGTGTGACTGCTCAGTGGATCTAGCATGTCCTGAAGGTGGTGGATTTACTGCACATGTGCATACCAGGAGTATGCACGTATATCTGTCCAGGAGTTCTGGTCATGAAACATGGTAGCTCTGTAACTTACAGTGCATGTTGCAAAGTGTGTGATGTCTGAGAAGAATATCCAGGATTAAGATAAACTTAGTTTCCAGTGTTGGTAGTAACTCACCGTTACCTCTTTTAAGTCCGTAGCCATGTATAAATGTGGTTTTAATACAGGCTTTAAAATGGCAAGGAATGGAAACTTCCCTGTGGAATTACTTTACTGCATTATTTCCAGGTCCCAGCATTCACTTTTACATGTTCTATTCAAGTGTGATTCCTCTCTCAAAATGATGTTTTCCTTACATTGTTGCCTTCCCAAATTGCCTTTCTGCTTGAGATCTTTGCAGTTGAGTTTTCAGTGGTTGAGATTGTTGGGAATTCTTTTATTTTCAGAAACCCTATCCCAGTTTTTGTGAACTGGAAGCATCAGTAGTTGAATTTGGGAGTAGGTAATGAGGCTGTTCTATGACATGGTAGTGGTACAGTTAACTGTATCAAATCCTTTTTTATGGTGTGTCTGGAAGGTCAGCGTATATCTCTTGGTCAATGCAAGTTATGTCTTATATTTTTTACCTTTTTCTTTCTATTTATTTTACTTGATTATCTTCACAGTCTTCTTTACTGAAAATGTTCGCAACATTTACCAACACAAGTAGAAACAGGAAGGATTTGTGTTACAACCTTGATAAGAAAATATTTGAATGTCTTACTACAGTAGTTCTGTTGTGCATTAAAGGCAGTAAGCAATGTGTGTGGTTGGGTATTTAATAATGGTGCAACTTCTCTCAAGTCCTCTTTGATTTTGTTACGCATTATTTGCATAATTGCAAATAAATTGCATATTGTTTTCTAGCAGTAATTTGTTAGGCTTCATCAGGTGGGCTGTGGTCTGTATCTGATAAAACCCACAAGCTCCAAATGTTAGAGAAACTCTGAAAGATAGCATGACTTTGAGAGATGATCACAACAGGTGCTCAGGAAAGTTCTGTATCATGGAGTTTAAATCCTGTCCCTGTTAGTTCTTCCAGCTGCATATTGCCAGCATGCTAGTGCAGCTTTTCCAGAGCGTAAGTGCAGTTTGTTCTGAAATGCCACGTACTTTCTAACCTATAATGAAACATCCATTTAAGATTAAATTAAGAGGCGTTTTTTTGCATATCTGTATTCAAGCACATTGCTTTGGGGAGTGTCTTTGTTTTGCCCATGCAACTTTTGCAATTCTCAATGTAATAATTTAGTGGTCATTTAAATACCTAAATACTTTCAATAAGTTTGTGTGTAATAGTATCCTTTGTAAGCAGTGTTAATTTCAATACAGTAATTTTTTAAAAAGATGGTGTATTATATTACATCTTTATGTTATTATTACAGATAAACACAAATCCCCTTCAGATATAATACGAAGTTTTCAGAAGAAAAGTCAGTTTCGGACCATTGCTCCAAAAATGGTACCAAAAATTTTGACATCTGGAGTGGTTTCTTGTCTTCAGTCATCTTTGCCTGAGCAAAATGCACCAATTTCAGCTGCAGGTTGTAAACCACTGGTGGTACCAACTCAAAACTATGCTGTCATGCAGGTGGCTGGTCACGAGGGGACTTTTTCTCTGTTGGCCTTGCCATATATGGCCCCTGCCCTGACACAGCAAGTCCAGCAGTCAAATGTTTCTGAAAACCTAAAGCTGCCTATCCCTAGGTACCAATCTGTAAGAAATAAGTTGCTGAGTGACAAAAAAACAGCACAAATCTCTGTATTGGGTGCATGTAACAAGACTCCTACCAAAGCATTGATCTCATCACAGACTTGTCCCATGACTACTTTAACTGAAGACTGTTCTGAAACTCATTCTAGTTCAGATTCAACTGAGCAAGCGATGCTAGCAGACTCTGACTCAGCTGAAATTACAGCTGCCACATTAGTAAAGAAAAGTGACTGTGTGGAATCTGTATCTCCTTTAGTGAACAAAACTGAAATTGCTAATGATAATGTTTCTGGACCATCTGTAGTTAAAGACTCTTTATCCAAGCCAGCAAGTGCAATTAATCCCATAAAACTAAGTCTACGCTCTGCAAAGAGAGCATCTGGAACCACAAAAGAGTCAGTCATAGCGTCTGAGACACTAAAGGAAAAACCCACAAATTCTGCTGCTGTCCTGTCACCGGCAGGTTTTGGCAGTACAATACAGATGACTCCATCAGCACCAAAAGGAAAACTTCCTATTCTACCTTACTCAAGGATGAAAAATTCAGTGTTGTGTAAATCTAAGCAGAATAATAATGTTACGGATGTATCTGGTCCTTCATTAAGATCTGAAAGTGAAAAGATACCAGCTTTGGCGAAAACTTGTCATATTCCTGCTAAAGCATCTGATAAGCGGTCAGCTGTATCATTTACGCAAGTCCCCAAACAAACCATTCGAGAAAATACATTATCTCCATCCAATAAAGTGGATATCGACAGTCTTAAAAAATTGAACAGTGCAGCCTCTCTAAGAAGAGGCAGGAAAAGAAGATCCCCAGATGATTTATTGGCTTTTCAGACCAAGCGAAGGAAATGCGTCATAAGTAAGTTTAGAGAAGGAAGAGAGAAGGCAAAAGTTGATCTTCAGCCACCTGAAGACAAAAAAGCGGAGGCAGTAAAGAAATACCGTAGTATTAGACCAAAACCTGTGGTAGTTGTGCAGGCTTTTGCACCGCTGACTTCTGCAGCAATAATAGAGGCACCGTCTCCTGACCGTTTAGACCAAGACATTTTTTTAAATAGTTCATTTCCCAATAAATATTTAAGTTACAAGCACAGTGATGCAACATCAGCTCAATCAAGTGATTTAAGTAGAAATGCATGCTCAACCGTACCTAGGCCATCACATAAATGTCATGTTTGTAACCATATATTCCAGTTTAAGCACCATCTTCAGGACCACATGAACACACATACAAACAAACGGCCTTACAGTTGTCGAATTTGCCGGAAAGCCTATATTCATTCTGGAAGCCTGAGCACACATATGAAACTCCATCACAATGAAGGCAAACCTAAAAAGCTTGTGTGCTGTGAATTCTGCGCTAAAGTTTTTGGCCATGCAAAAGTGTATTTTGGCCACCTCAGAGAAGTGCACAGGGTTGTTATCAGCACAGAGCCCTCTACTAGTGATCAGCAGCTGCAAGATGCTTTAAAGAAGAGAGGCACAAATACAAAAGAGGCAGAAGAAGCAACAGAGAGGTGAGCGTTTTCACTAATTAAATACTAGTGAAAACAGGATTTCAGGTTGTCAGTGGAAATTCATGAACATCACCATTATGAAAATTTTTGCTTTTTATTCCACCCTAGTGAGATTCCTAATGGCTTAAATATTTTCGTAAGGAATCTAGTCAGACCTTCCGGTACACTTTAGCAGATTTATTGAATATAAATGATTACTGACACTTGAATATCCAAAGTAATTTTATATGTATTCTAGTAATACCCAGTATACTGCCAGTGGAGCTGTTTTGGTCAGTTGATTTCTCACAGCTCACTCTTTTTCTGTTAATCTGCACTGTCTTCTGTGTCCTACCCATTTTGGGATTTTCCCCAGAAGGTAAGTGAACCAACTGCAATAAGTGAAAAGCAATTCACATTTCAGTATTAGCTTGTAGTTTGTTTACCCTATTAAATATCATTATCCCATTTCCTTCTCTGGAGTGCTGTGAGCTAATCTGTCTTGTGCATTGATTACTGCTGGTTTTGAACTCACTTAGCCAAATAGAAAAGCTAATGTTTACCATGTTAAGATGGATAGAACATTCTTTTATCTCCATATTATGATTTTGAGGTGAAATTTCCTGACATGGTACGGAAGTTGGCTTTTTGTTTGTTCCACTGTGTATTTTCTTTCCTTGAAGTGCACTTTAAGCTCAGCGCTTTAACCTGACACCTCAGTACAACACTACAGTTCAGTTTTACACGTTTTGCTTTGCATAGCTCCACTCACTGGGGCATTGGTTAGAAATTTTTAAGGTATTGAACCTGAGAAACACCAGCTCTTCTCTTTCAGCCTTACCAGCCATCGTACAATGAATCATTCAGGTTATCTGTTTTGTTGGGTGATCTGTGTAATGTGTATAAATACACAGTATTATGTGGTCCTTTTTATAGACGTTGAGAGGAGGTTTCTGTGGAGATCTTCTTTTGATAAGCTTGACTTAAACCAGGGACTTGCTAGCTCTGCGTGTATCTGTTCCCGTTGTACTGCAGAGCTGTCCAAAATCAATGAGAGGGGCTGTCCAGTTGTAAATTAGCTATTTAAACGTTTTAAAACTATGTTACAAACTTTTAGGGGAAAAAAACCCAAACATTGATGTTTCATTGTTTCCATCATGGAGTAGGGGGGTGGGACATGTAATTTTGCCTTGAATTGACCTTAGATCACTCAATGTAAACAAGTTTGTTTCACTTAGTAGTGTGCTACGGGCAATACTCATTTTCACTTTTCTAGCACAGAGCTAGAAGTATTTGGATTGACCTCACTGAATTGGGAACTTTAAAAAGCCATTATTAACCTTTTATTAAAAGGTTAGTGTTGTTAAAAATTTGTTTCTACCAAGGCTAATTTTGGGGGCGATTCTTAAACTCGGCAGTGTCCAATAGCATTTGATTGCAGTTGTTTCCTAATCAGCCTTGTTATTTCTTTTTCTGTTCCAAATAAGTTAGATACTGTAGCAGCTGTGTGTGTTTTTAATTAAAAGAGTGTTTTTTGAATGTCATCTCTTCTTGGAACTTATAAGGACAGAAATTGCCGTCTCTGTTTTGTGCATGGCTAATACTGAAATAGTTCATATTTCCTTTTTTTAACAGGGGAAATAAATGCAATTTTGAGGACCTATTCCATAACCCAGGAGAAGTGAAATTACAGATCAAATGTGGTCGATGCCAGTTTGTTGCCCAGTCTTTTGGTGAAATGAAGTTTCACTTACTGTGCTCTCATGGAGAAGAGATCCAGGGAAGAGTAAAGGAAGGGGTTTTGCAAGGAAATAGAGGAGCTAAGGGGGATCTGATCAAACACACAACCCCCTTCTGGAGACAGCGCAATGAGAGAAGACATTTAGCAAAATGCAGTGGCCATGAGGAGTTTTATGCTTTTCCAAAACTGAAAAGGCAGATACACTTTCACCGTCAAACTAATGTTGATATGTTACCTAAAAGTGAGCTAACTCAGTCAGGAAGCGGTGAAGCAGCCAAGGAGATGCAGAATGTAGGTTTTAGTGCGCCAAGCAAAAAAATAGAAATTTGGTCTAAAGCAGGCTATAACTGCATTTTGTGCAAACAGTTATTTGGAAGAAAAGAGGATCTTTGTACTCATTGGCAGAGTCATCATAACTGTGAAGACCCTTCCACTTTATGGACAATTTTTAGTTTGTTATCAAAACAAGGAATTATTGAACTTTCTAATAATGGTGAATATTGAAGATCAGTTCTACGATGCTCTGAAAAACATCAACTAACTTACCAAATTGTTTATGTTTTTTGCTCTGTTGTTAAGCTAACTCAAGAGATGTATCAGTTCGGATGTTTGTTTGCTGGGTTTGTTGGGGGTTGGTTTTAAGTTATGGTAACCTTTATTTTGTTAAATAGAAAGTCTATTTATCCAGTATCGTTCCAGATGAGTACATGCAAGCTGATATGAAACACTGTACTTCGAGTAAATACTCTATACTAGTGGTTAACATTAAGGAAAAAGATTTTCAAGTTAAATTATGCTATACACACAGAAATCAGTTTGTATGAAGTAATCTGAGTCTCAAATGGAATGATGAACCAGACTGGAAGTGTAATTTCAGTAATTTCAGTCCCAACTGTACTTCCAGACTTTATGGTAAATATATATTTTCCTGCAGTTCTCTGGATCATTCAAATGTGCATACATGCAGCCGGCATTCAGGAGCTTTATGATCTATAATTCAAGAGCTTTTGATTATTGTTTTCTTGATTTCAGTGTCATTGCTTGCAGGTTTGTTATTGGCAGGTCTTTCAGGTGTTATATTCTGTCCTGGTAACAGCAAGGATATTTGGATTTTTAAAGTGAAAAATTTACACATATTTCTTTGCCTGTAGCTCTTTAGGTTGAAGGCGAGTTAGTTGCCACCTATGAAGATGGAACCCTCAAAGCTTGACTGCTTTATGGAAAAAAAAAAAAACAACCAAGTTTCTTTTAAAAATAGTAATCTGACTTGGTTACTCCTGGGAAGTTTGACATTCTGCAATAGACTGCATGTTTCACAGTGAACTTTTAGCATATTCCTTGCACCTCCTGTGACAACAGCACTAATGCTGCCAACAGCATTAGCACTCTGCCTTTCACGCTCTTGGTATACAGCTTTTGTGCCTCTGCAGCTCACCCAGTCTGTGGCTTTAAAGGGAATTGTTCCTTCGCTTCGAAGTCTGTGGTACAGGTAGTGAGGTTTTTTCACTTGTGTTGCTAGATTTACTGTACTAGAGGAACTGCATGAAGCACCTTAACTTTCCAGTATCAGGAGCCAGTCACAGGTACCTTACCAGGATGCAAAGCTGTAGCAGCCTGTAGTGCAGGAGCAGTGCGTTTGTGTCCCCCTGCTCCAGAGCAGGCATGGTAAGTGACCGATTCAGCACATCTCCAAGGGGGCAGGTCAGCTCAGGCGGTAAAGAGATGGAGTTTCGGAGCTCAGATTTGATGGAAAGGTCATTGAAGCCATTGAATCTAGTTTGAAACTGGTATTTAAACTGCTGTTACTTAAAGCCTTATGTACCTCTGAATTATTTGGGGAGCAATAATGGAGACAGTGTAAGAAATTGCTATATCACTGTTCAGCAGAAGTCAGAGCACACCAGAGGGCAAACTGAAAAATACACCGGTACTGTCTCTACAGTAATACTATATTCATTTCTTCTTGTGGTCAAACTGTAATTGAGGGATTGCAATGATGAAAGAGTCATTCCTAAAATGTCCTGGGTTGCCTTTCAATGTTTTGCAAAAGTTGTCGTGATGAGAACATGAGAAGAGGTCTAAAAATGTTGGGTTTTCTGAGTGGGATTCCAGAAGCTGTTGCAATCTTTTGTGTATGTGTTTTGGTTTTAAACAGTAAAGGCAATTTTGATGAGCTGTTAGTTTTGAATTTAATTTTTGTCATATGGTGCTTTGCCCTGGAGTTGAACTATAAGACTGGAGCCAAGAAAAATAAAAGAAAAAGAGAAAGTGCTCATAGAACTGTACAGGTGCTTGTTAAGGTGGAAGAATCCCTGTGGATTTTCAAAGCTATCTGTTGCTGTAAGTACATATTTGTGGTTGTTTCTTTGCTTTCGTATATTACTTTTGTATGCTGGAATACTTTTAAAATACTACTTGTTCTTATTCTTGACACACCCATCTTTTAATACCTACAATACCTACAATATATTCATATTTATTTTCACTAGGTAGATGGAGGAGAATGTATGGCGTATTTGGAAAAGAATAGCTAACTTTAAAGTCAGTGTTTCATATCAAACTGAGACTGTATTCAACTCAGTAGAGTGTGTTTGCATTTAGAAGCATTTTTTACCCCAGCTTAATCCTTTAACTTTCAAAATCAAACAGCTCTGTGTTTTCCCCGAAACAGAAATGTGAGAACAATCCCTCCTTCACATAGTTATAATATATCAAAGGGAAGTTCATTCCCAGTGTAAAGCATGCATTTTAAGAGTTGGGCAGAGAACATTAAAAAGGTTTGGTCATGTTCATTATTTACAGCGGACATTAAATCACCTTTCTTGCACAATCTGCCGTCCCTTGGTGTGGTGTAAAATGAGCTGAAATGAATGCAGCTCTGAGACGGAGCCCCTCGTGTTCAGAACAGCACCAACGATGGCAGAGTTGTCCTTCAAAAAGTGTTTGTTGAAAAAGGTGGTGTGTCAGAGCCCGTGATGTAGATGAGTTGTTTGGTGGTAGTCATCAGGCAAGAAGAGTCACTCCCTTTCATTTCGTGTAAAAAGAGAGGGAGGTGCAATGATGATGGGAGGAAGGAGGTTTGGGATGAGGGAGTGGGCTGCATGGTTTTTTTGATGGAAATTTTCGTGTACAGTCTTTTCATCATATTTCTGCACTTCTCTTCCTTTCCTTAGTCCAGGCCAAATGGGTAACGGGGTCTCAGCTTTCAGCAATTTAAACATGTTTTAAAGTATGGTTCTCAGCCATTTCTCGGTGTCCTCATAAATGTTTAAAATTAGAAGCCTTTTTTTCTGAGCCTGAAAGCGTTCTTATGTTTCAGGCTGTTACGATTGTGGTAGATTATGAAAGGTTGGGATTTTTGAAAATAGCTTTGCATTAAGTACAGATGTGTCCTGTGTTTAAAATGTGTTTGTTTTGCGTTCGTGTTCATTTTGATAACATTTGGAGGTATGAAGTGAGCCTTATTTACAGCAACATTCAATAACGCATTTGCTGTTCTGCGGAAGGGTTGTTATGAATACAGCTTGCTGTTTACCTTGAAGCTGGACAAGTTAACATCTGGTTTTGCACATAAGTTGTATTTTTAAATTGTTAAAATGAATGTTACTGGGTTTGTAGCTGTAGTTTTGTTCCCCTCTGATTTTTCATTAAATCTCTGTTTCAGCTTTAAAGCTGTTCCTCACATGGAAAGTTGTTCCTTCATCATCACACCATAAATAATCAAAGCTGGAGGAGTTCCATTGCTTCTCTGGCTTGCAGAGTATTGCCCTTCTCCAGCTGCCGAGCTACAGTTTCCTATGGCTAACTTGACATAGTTGCTGGCATTAAATTTTTTACTTCATTTATTTATTAGAATTTAGATCTCTGCTGTTTAGCTCCACCAGAGTTGCTGTCATACCTCATTAGATACTTATTTTATCTGCTATTCACTGAGCTCTTTAGAGAAACTGTCATAAGAAGGATGAACAGGTATTTAAGAGAGCAGATTTCAGCCCTAACTTTGTGCAGATGATGCTGACGTTTGAGAATCACCAGCTTATCTAGGCTCAGCCGTGTAGTGTATTATATTTCTACAACACATCCACCTACATGCGCATCTATTTGGGAATGAAATGTATACTTCAAATTCAGCTGTCAGTTATTATTATCAAACCTGTACAATGTAGGTTTCTGATTATTATGCATAAAGATTAAAATGCTATTAACTGTAGTAGGTTTACTTGTCAAATTCCTTATTGCTTTGAAAAATGAAAATCTCTGCGTGCTGAGTATGACACAGGATAAATTTGGTCTCATGAAGGAAATTCTGATGGCTTAAAGGTTGTCCTCATTTCAGTGTGTGCTTTTATAGCTGATCTGTCACATTGTAGGATTTTCTCCACGTTTTATTAAATTGCCATAATTTTTCTTGGTTAGGAATACTGGAGAAGACCTGAGCCTGCAAGCAAGTTTCAGGAAAAAACATGTTTACTTCCTTTCTCTGTACAGGCAGACACGTCCATGGAATCAAAATGGTCTTGGTGGCCCTACATACACATGCACAGTGTGGGGCAACATGCAAGATTTGGGCTTCAGTGTATGACTTTATGTGGCTGACCGTTCTGCAGGGCCAAAGTAGAAACTGCAAATTTGAGTGTAAAAATAACTTGGTTTTCAGACTTGAGTGAATTTCTAATACCTTATTGACAATAGTTCAAGAAACCCTAAGAAATGACGATAGCATACTTCTCTACTTGTGCTGTGTTTGACAGTTTTATTGGTGTAGTAGCACGAATAGTGTTCTAAAGTGTGATGGGTCTGGTGCTGTTGGGTACAAAGGAAGCTTTCTCCCTTCCATTTTTTTTTGCCTTTTACTGGCTTTTCCATGTAAGCATTAGAAATGAGGGATGAATCATGATTTCTTCTGCTGACAAATCCAGAAACATTATTCTGAAGTTATTTTGCAGAAACTTCCAATTTTAGTCTAGAATAACAGATGGAATCAGTGAAAAGAAAATTCTATTGGAAAGAGATACATAAGCAAACTGTCCCATATGTGGATTTCTCTGCACAATTACACTGCTGTAGATGGAATTTATAGATGATAGGTCTTCTACCGGCAGGTGTGAACAGTTTGTTCTTATCCAGTTACTTAGAGTGGCCAAGGGGAGTAAGAATAAAAAAAATGTCCATACCTTCTCTTTGACTTGAATTTTGTTAAATATTTCTGCTGTTCTGCCAGTCCAGATCATGGTCTAAGGCATGTAGGTACTCACTTTCTAGGGGACTTGCAGCATAATTCAGTGGAGGAAAGGGGAAGAAGTGTGTGAAGGAAGTGATGGTGATGAAGGTTGGCACAACTTACTGAATATAAGGTAAAGCTTCAGTACGACTAGCCTTTGATGGCCTGTGTATGTGGAAGTGTCCTGTAGCCTTCGTCTAAGCTTCTCCCTTCCACCCCCTGTGGCTACATGGCTACAGAGTCTGCTTCCACGTGAGGCACGTCAGTCTGGTGCACCGTCGGCTTCCCTGGGCACGAGCTCT